GTGTGTGTGTGTGTGTGTGTGTGTGTGTGTGTGTGTGTGTGTGTGTGTGTGTGTGTGTGTGATAAGTTATAATTAATAACAATGTATACGCGAGACACGGATATAATATAACTTCTTATATATCCATATATTAATAAACTATAAATTATGGAATTAACTTTTGAAATTTATCATATACAATTATCAATATTAGGTTATGTGCAACACAGATCATTTAAATTGGCAGTGCATAATATACATCTAATGATTACCTGATCTTTCCTTTGATTATTTACGCGAATTATCTACATCTATCTTTGATTAAGTATAACAAGCTCATTGCTTTTTTAAAATCACATTTTGATTCTTCATTACTTAAATTTAAATATATTCTCAGAAAAGTAGATCAATCTGTGAAATTTCTCGACTTTTTTATAATAAAATGCAATTTGTAAAAGATCTATCACAATATTATGAATGGAACATTGTTGCAATATCAGAAATTTTACGTGCAGATTCCAAATTTAATGATATTAAAATTTTGATGTTTTCTTTTAAATCTATTTTAAATTATTCTCCGCTTTCTCTGCACTCGTCAAGATTTCCTATAGAACATTGACGTTTTTGAGCAAATGTCTTAAGCACTTCATCTTCAAAATTGGGATCAAGTAAAATGTCTATTCCTTTCGTTCCGTTCGTCGAATATTTTTGAAATATGGTCTTGGCCACTTCCCACAGTGAACAATTCTGTTGCAACATATGAACTAGAGGTTGCGCCAACGGGAATAATAATGACAGATTACTAAAAAACAAAAAAGTATATTTATTACGAAAAATATATAAACGAAACATAAAAATAAAAAAAATATCAGATATACTTACGTAAAGACAGGAATAACCAAGTTAGTAATAAATTCTATTTGAAGATCGGGAATGGACGCACGTTCCCTGTCCATCATTTCAACAGGCGCGTTGCCCATACTTTTTTCTAAGTCACCTTGCGAAAAAAATTCATCGAATATTTGCTCCTAATAAAAAAAATTATTTAATTTAAATTAATTAATTTAAAATTAATTAAAATTTATTTGTAAAAAATAAAAATAAAAGAAAATATTAAATTTGAATAAAATTTACCGCTGTTTTCTTTGAAAGTTTCCAATCTTTGGTTTGATCACTCAAATCGCAACAAGTCATAAGCATTTCAAATAGCAGCTTCTGTTGTTTCGGATCATCTTTGTTATATCCATTACGAATCATTTCTTCCTGATTTTTTATAATACGAAAATGAGAAGCTAAATCAGTCGCAAGTATATTGCTTCGTAGTAAATCCAAAGCTTCGCTATATTCATTGCTATCAAAGCTTTCAAATATATTGCAACCTTCAGTATTTAATATGCACATCGTTTGTGCAAGATGATGTCTCTATTTAATAAAAAGAAATTAATCTATTTAGTTGGAATTAAAATGTTAATTCTTTAAAATAATTTGTCTCTGTTTTACCTCCATAACAGATCCTTCTGAACTATAAAGATTTGCTAATACGGTGCCGCACTTCATTTGAAACGAATTGTTAGTTCCCCTATGATCTATATCATGACATAAACATGATACAAGAAACACCACAGCCTGTAAAGGTGACATGTAATTTTCCTCAATAAGCTGCATGTTCTTTATCAGCAGATAAGCGAAGTGTGCCACAGAAAATGCATGTGTCCAATTATGATAAGGTGCATCTCGATAACCTTTTTTAACATATAATATAAACCTAAAGAAGATTATGTTAATTAATATTATTAAAAAATAAACGGATCATTTAATTTCACATTAATACCTCGCGAGTGTTGAGATTTTAATTCTCCAATGCTTTAAGAAATTCAAATCTGTGAACATTTTAATAGTATAGCAAGGTATATGTTTATAAGGTACATTTCTTGGACTGAAGTGGAATTTGTTAAAATCCTTAATATTATGATCATCTCTACAATTTAACAACGCTTGAACAGCGGATTCTTCCACCTACAAAGAAATTCTTTACTGAGCATATAATCTATTAAATAACATATTATTTATATTTAATATTTAATATATTATACAAGTATTTTTTTTTACCTTCATGTGATACATCATTATTTCATTGCTAAGTTTATTTCGAGCTTGAGCATCCTGCATTTTTTTATAAACAATACTATGCATTATTGATATACCACAATAGATACTAAATGCTGTCGCAATTTGTTCATCAAAGGCATCGAAATATAAACCGTTTATCTTATTACATAATTGAGCCACTCCTAAAACATAAAAATTCTATATTTTATATTTACACTTATTTTTATTATAATCCATTTTAATTATAGTTCACATTCTTATGATAACATATTAACATATTAACATATTAACATATTTTACCGACAATGCCCTTTTCATCCCGTATTGGAAAGCACAAAATATTTCTAGTCTTAAATCCTGTTACTTCGTCAATTCCACGATAAAAAAGAGGATGATTATAAGCATCTCGAATATTGAGTAATTTACCAGTAGTTGCAACATGACCAGCTATACCTTGTCCAATAGGTATTCTCATTTCGCTCATAGTCTGGTATATTTAAAATAACATGAAGTTATTTATTATATATCGTTGTCTTCATGTGAAATTAACTATACAAGTTACATACTTCTCCTGTAGAAATGCCATCAAATACTTTGGCAACCAAATCTTGTTCATCAGGATCCAAAAGAAATAATGAACATCTCTCTGCATTTGTTAATTTTCTGACTTCTGCCATAATCTCACGCAAAAGATCAGGAAAGTCTCCTAAATATGGATAAATATATGAAAGATATAGATTGGATGTTGTGACTAATAAATTAATCACCATACCTAAATGTGTGAAAAGCTTCCTAGAGACAGCTAATAGATCTTGACACTGCTGTTTCACACGTGTTTCTTCATAGCAACGTAATGAACTAAGCAAATATCCAAGGCAAAACCTATAGAATTCCAAGATATTTCAAAACTTAGAATTAGAATATTTCTTTCTTTCAACAATTATTTGATGCATTATAACTGCATTGTACAATACCTAAAACATTCTTGAACTGTCTCTGTACAAGCATGCCTAGCTTCATCTCCATCCACATAATCTACCAGGCACACAAGCAAAGCTGTATGATGCTTGAAAGGATGCTGTATTGGGATCGTTAAGAGGAACTGAGGTGTCGTGTCCATTATTCTATTAATATATTTTAATAATTCTTTGTCAAGTTGCGCAACAGTCAAAGCTAATGATGTTTTATTTATCACAGCCTCATGTAAAACATTGTTTGGTATCTGCAAAACATACATTTTTGTTCTTCATATTCACAGGAAATACACTAAGTGAAAGGATTTGCCATTAGAATCATGACTTTAGGGGATAGATGAATAAGGAAATTGGGATGAATCGTTATATATCAAGATGTTCTAAAATTTGAAAGGATAATTAGCTTATCAATATCATTATTAGGATTACAAGAAAAAATATGATTTATGAAGCCCAGAAGTAGCTATAAGCAGACAGTTTGAAATATTTAGTAAATTTAAAGATCAATTACATTCACTGATAACGATGAAATATGATAAAAGGAAAGTATTTTCTTGATTATTGTTAAATAATTCTATAGTCAAAATTATCAAGACTAATGTCTCTCTTCTTTCAACCTTTACAGGAAATCTTCACAGAAGAAATCTTCACTTACAAGAAATCTCAATTCTCTATCCAAAATTTCTTCACCTATCACATGTATAACCATCTCCTCGGATTCTACCAGTACTGATATGAGGAAGACTAGTCTTGCATTTGTCGCATCCTGTATCTGTAAAAAAAATTAAAAAGGGACGGGAAAGGAAACAACAAGAAACCCATTGAAAATTCATATGAATTTTTTCGATTGTCTCGTACAAAAAAAAACTGAAAAAAAAAAAGAAAAACAAGACCAAGTCAGCCGGTGTTCCGTCATGCTTGGTCTAGCAGACGACTACGATAGCGTCCGTGGCATCGCGTTACTATTGGTCGAGGACTCGCGGCATGCCGTACGTTCAAATGTCACGACGTGGGACGGTTCGTCGCGATTTTATACGCACATATCTGTTCAGCCGCAGCTGCACCTCTGTGTACGGCAGATCGCACAGCTGTTCGATCAGCGCGAGAATCCTCGCCGGATCGGCGACTGAAGCCGAGGCCATCGTCTCGGACGATCTCGAGTCGGGTCCTTCTCCGGGGCTCCGTCGTGGATCATTTCAAGGGGGAACGCGACACCGGGACGGGGAGACCGTCGCGGAGCGAGCCATTGGCGACGTCGATCGTCCTGCGGCGATCTTCCCCGTGGATTGACATCAATTGACCGCCGCGGGCGAGCGAACTCCTGTTGCAGTGCGGAGCGGCGGCAGTGACGACGATCGACCGCGGTCGATCGGGGTCGATCGACGAAAACGAGCAATGCGTATCTGCGTTCCTAATGACAAGTGCTGACAAGCTGACAAACTGTAATCGCACGCAACCAGGGGGGACAATCCACTGAAATATAACGGGTTTGTTCTTTTTAGCTGCACTAAAATTTTCTCTCTCGCTTTCACCAAACTCCAAATATACAGGCCTATTCTTTTTAGCTCTTAAAATTTCTTGCACGATTTCCTCTTTTCCTCCCCATGTAACCGTAAAAAATTGACGAATCATAGTCGATTATTCTCCTATTCTTCGATTATGATTCGTCCATTTCTTATGGCTTAAAGCTTAAATCATCTATTGTAGACCGGAACTTAGCCTGTTCCTTTTAACTGAATCTCTTGCATCGTTATTTTTCTTTTTTTCTCCAACAGGAAATGAAAAAAGAAAAGATGAACGATACAAGTTTAGCTAAAAAGAACAGACCTATTATTATATTTCAGCCATCTAACTCTCGGCCTACATCTATGGTCATAGCTAATTGGTCGGTGCTCCAAATATGGCGGAAATATGATGCGAATGTAAGTCTGACTCGAATGCTGACTACTCTCCGAGAATCTCTCGTGCCGTGTTGTAACGGCATAAGTAGTAACGCCAATGTAGTTGTCTCCATTTTCGCCCCTTCCTGTCTGCAGCTTCCTCGTTCTCCTGTTCGCGCTACATCGTAGCGTCGGAGCAAAGGGTGTTATCGGGCCTTCTAAAAAGAAAGAAAAAAAAAAACCGGACGAACATTCGTGACAGAAAAAGTGGAAGAAGCGTCGCTCGAACGTTGGCGTTGGTGCAATACAAAATAGCGGGCGTGGATTCCGTCGGTTTCTACCTCGCAGTAGTCGAGCGTGTATGGAAACGAGCGTTTGTTGACGAGTAAACAAAAATGGACGTGGAAGAGGGGGAGGCGAAAATGTGCAGGCTCTGCGGCCAGTATGAGAGAATCTATATCGATGTGTTCGGTGAGGAAGGCATCAAACGTTACCTGGGCCTCAAGATTCACAGGAAAATCAACATCCTGGTGAGTTCGACCACATGTAACTCTTCTCCCTTGCCTTGTTGCACGTTCTGCCTTTCTAACCCTTGAATATGAGAGGCGAATTAGAAACAAAGAAACATTTCTTTTCGTATTTCTCTTCTTTTTTAAATTCTTTTAAATACGAAGTTTATATACATATACTCGCCGTTTGTTTCGCTTGTTTTATTTTATGCTTTACGTTTATTTATGCACAAATCAATATTCTCTTTCAAAGTTGAGTTATTTTTTAGCTGAGACCTAATATTTAACTAGATTAATTATTATTTGCTTCTAGGCTTGAATATTCTTTAAACTAATTACAGGAAAAAATAAATGACTCAAAACATTATTAACTTTTTAGTGATCATCATAACAAAAAATAAAGAATACTTTTGTGGCTCATGGAAATATCAGTTTTGCAATTAGTATCATTTATTTCCATCTTTAATATTAATTTTCTCTATCAAGAATTTCAATACACATTATCAGTATTTAAAAGTCCATAATGTATCTCAGAAAGTAATTATACAAAATATTTTCAGTATATAGCTATTTGTATATAATATCTGTATTAAATAATAATTCTAGAATGTCCAGATATTAAAAACAGTTTAAAAGATATTACTATTGTTAAAAAAATTGATTTAATATTTATTTTTTTTATAAGTTACAATTTTATTAAAATAGTAACAGTTTATTATATTGTTTATTACATTTATTCCAATATATCTCTCAATCATTAATAGATATTATTTTATGTGTCTTATTTTATTAAAGAAATTCTTGTAGAATCTCCTAGAATTTGTGACTATTATTATTTAAAAAATAGTTATTAAACAATATATAAAAAATATTATGTTTATCTTCAAATATGCATGTGTTCATAGATATGTTACAAAATTACTATACAAATCTATATAAACTTTATTTAATGTTCTAAGTAATGAATATTAGAATAGTGTAAATTTAAGTTTATCATGTAAATATAAATTTAAATTACAAATAAAATAAAATAGCAAATTTATATAAATAAAGTTAAGTTTGTTGATAATTTTAGACTTGATGTTGCTATTTTAGTGAGTATCAGAATGTAACGATATATATTTTATAAATTGATATATTTATGAAGCAGATTAGTAGTATTAAGTAACATTTTGTAAAAAAAAAGAAAATTAAACATTTATGATTTAACAAAATCTTATTTTTATATAAATACATTACAAATATATTTTTCAGTATTTACATTATTTCTGTTTATAAATCTTAGATAGATGAGAAGGATCCTTTACCGAAGGCAATCTGTGTTCAATGCCTGGGTAAGCTTGAATTTGTTTGCGACTTTCAAGAAGAATGTCTGCGCACCCAACAAGTGTTACGCGATCAATATAATCTACCACCATTAACAGAATCTGTAAGTCTCTCTATATTTTATTTATATTTCATTTTCTACCTATCGCCTTTTTATTATTTTATTGTAATATAATTAATTTTGATATTAATTTCATATGATATACAAATTCAAGCGCTAATAATAAATACATTATAAAAAACACACATGAATAATTAGATAAAATATAAAATAAAACATTTATATTTATTAATTTATATGCAGTTTTATAAAATTCCAATTTTTTTGTAATCTTTTATTATATTAAATGTCAATCAAATATTTTAATTTATTTTTTATGACATATAATTAAGAATTTTTCACTCTTTTTATTAAACTAATTATATATATATATATAATAATTTATCTCTTTACCTTATATTTATTACTGAAAAATTTATATGAATCAAATTTACATATATTATTATTAAAACAGATATATATTCTAGTGTCTACTCCTATATATTAATTTAATCTCTCTCCAGACAGAAGTAAAAAACGAAGAATCAACTTCGTCTGTGGGTGCGTCATCAGATAATAACAACAGTATTGAAAAAAATCTTAATTCTAGTAGAGACAATCAAACTGAAGAAAATCAGGATGATGTCGTCAAGACGTCAGTGGAACAGCAAAAGAAAAGAAATAATACATCAAAGGTTCTACGAAATCTTCGCAGTCAACAACAACAACAACAACAAATTTCCAAATGCAACGATGAAAATACAGAAAAGAATATACAGAGTCCACCTGCAGAAACGTCATTGACTCGTTGGCTTAGAAGCAAGCAAAGCACGGATAATTTGCCTGTGGATAATGAGGAGATCCCAATCGCAAGTAGATTAAGGAGTCACAACAATGTGGAAAACAACATTAGTGTTCGTACTGTAAATAATAACAATAATAGTAACAACGAAAATAGAGACAAACAAAGTCTAAAGCAACAACAGCAACAAGATACATCGACAACGATTCAATTACCAACTTCGGCTTTAAATAAATTATTAACAATTGTCTCGGGCTCACCTGATATGGATGTTTCTGTGAAGGAAACAAGAAATCGAAATAATGATGCTGAGGATATTAGCTTCACTGTGGAGATGTGTAAAAAACGAAATGATGATGTATCGACGGTGCGAGCGCGCGTCTTTCCTGATCAAGGTTATTGTTCAGTTGATTCAGCAATCATAGATCTGCTGCAGAGTGAGAATAGCGCAGAAATAAATAGCATTATTAATAACATCCTTAGCAATACGTCTACGAAGAACAACAATAATGCGGCAGCAAAATTGAAAGATTTAGCGGAATTGGAGGAACGTCTAGAGGCCACACAGAACCCGGAGGAACTTTTCAAGATCGACGGTGAGGAAATCAAAGTGGATGATAACGTGGAGCATGTGGTAAACGAAACACAAAATGGTTATGCATGCAAACTCTGCCAAAAATTCTATGAGCGTCGAGATAAGTGCACAGTTCACGTGAAAACGCATCTCGGTATCAAGCAGTATACATGTGTCGTTTGTAACGCCAAGTTTGTTTGCAAGTCTGATGTAATGAAGCACATTCGATGCTCACATACTAATCCTAGGCCCATACAGTGTCCCAAATGTCCTAAACGATTCAAATCCAAATTTTATCTAGCGGAACATGATAATGTTCATAAAGGAGTGCGACCATACAGTTGTACAGACTGTGGGCAAAGTTATCACCATAAGGTTTCGTTGCAAATCCACATGAAGTCACATTTGCCGCCACAAAATCTAGCCTGTGAGTATTGCGGTAAGGTCTTCCCATTTCGTACGCGATTGCTCGGCCATATAGCGAGTGTCCATATGAAAAAACGACGCAATTTTCGTTGTCGTTTCTGTTATAATCTTTACTCAAGTTTATCGGTACTAAATGAGCACATCAAGACTCGTCACGCGACCACATATACGTGCGACACATGTGGCAAGACTTTCAAAGTCGCTTCGAAATTCAAGGCACACGTACTGCAGCATTCCAATCCTAAGCCATTTGTGTGCAATATTTGCAATAATCGTTATGCGTCTAAGGCGTTTCTCAATGAGCATCTATTAAAACATGAAGGTTTACGCAAACATATATGTCAGGAGTGTGGCGCGAGTTTCGCACAAGCCAGTCACTTGGCTGCTCATCGCCATGTACATGGAGAGAAGACGCATGCGTGCCCGGAATGCGGGAAAAAGTTTAATCGTCGTGATAATATGAAGGTGCATCGGAAACGGCATTTTGACAAAAAGACTGGCACAACTAGCAAACAAAAAGTTATGTCTAATAACAATAATAATTTGGCCGCTTCCACCACATCTGTTAACGAGAAATGATGGCAGGATTTACAGTTACAAAAAATAATTATTGGAGAGGAGAAAAGACTAATATATCTATAAAATCTGTGCAGATTTTTTTAATAGACTGGATAAGAATTTGCATGAAGAATCAAAGGAGGACAATTTCGAGATTGAATACTTGAGAATATATTCGAGGGAAGATTGCTCAAAGATGACAGCGTATAAAATTGGTCCTTCGATAAATTCATGTCCAATGTCATTCCTAACACTCTTATTTTTAATAATATAGTCGAACTTCCTATTCTTAAATTAACGGGACCAATCTTATTCTTAACTTTTTTCCTCGATTCCTACTTTAATAGTACATACATATAATGAAAATGTTTATTGCGCTATTAACAAATAATTGTACTATAATATTTTTGGTTCTTTTTATTTGTTTTTACTCAACAATCATATGTTCAAAAATGTAAAAAGTGGAGGAATAGTAAAGGAAAATTTGTTAAAGATGCGAAATCAGTGCATCAACTTCTTCAAGGATAAAATTTTGAAATTAGAATGTTTAAGTAATGAGCATTATATCTGCTATCAATGAGATTTTTTTTCCTTATGGAGAAATTCTGTAGTAAATATTTATTGACTATGCATTGTTCTAAAACTATAAAATTAATTTAAAATTAAACAAAGTCCTTGGAGAAATCAATAATATGAATTTGTTGAGAATAAGATGAATGTAATAATAAAATAAAATATTTCTTTTTTTTCTATAAATATTAAATTTTTTTTAGTTTTATTTTTCACAGAGATTATATATTAATCTTCTGTCCAAATGATCTTTATAATTCTGCGATATTTTTCTCTTTTTTTATTTTTGGATAATTGAGATTGTCAGATTTGGGAATATTAGAATATACTTAATTATTTTATTCAAGCGTTTACATAGTAAATATTAATCTACTATGTATCGAAACGTGATTTAATCTATAAAAATGTGCATACCTCTTTTAATATTTCTTTTCTGAGTACAATAAGTATTCGGAAAATTTACGATATTCTGTAATGTAGACAATAAGTCGAATTACGGCCAAAATTACGATTACTCGGATAATTATATAATTTTATTAAAAATTTAATGACTCCCATGCGCATGAGTACATGCGTGTATATATAACATACTAGGAGTAGGGCTTCCAAAATTAATGAGCCTATTACAAGGCTGGGAATATTTTCTATACATCTTTAGATATATCATGTTTATAGAAAAATTGTATCAATTATGACGATTTTCAATATCTTTTGGAGCAAGTTTTATATCAACTGTTATATTAAAAATAGAAGCGTTTTGAAAACATACAATGTATTATATATAATATGTATTTTATAAAATGTGTGTATATATATATTTTACTTACAAAACGATACAAAACTACACGAGGAAAGTAACATGCAAGTGCCTTGATTCAAGTCTTCAACGTAATAAAATAATCTACAAACGAGAGAATGTTGCAATTATAAAGGAGAATTATAAAGTGTTCTTAAATATAAAGAATGGCAATTATAAAAGTAGATATTTTATGATACAAACTATTGAAGAAAGCTTTTTACTATATAATTATGAATTATTGTATGATCAGAATATCACGAGTAACTGTTTATAATTAATTAGATAATTTTTCTGTATTTTGCGAAGTGATCGACAGTATGAGTATATTGTACGTGACGTATACAATTAGAAAATAATACTCCTCTTGTTCGACATTGAAGACATCCATCACGTATAACAGAAAGATAATGCATACGTATTCACATTCACTTACATTTGTAATACGCGTGAGCGTGTGTGTATGTGTTATGTGTAATATGTACATATATTTATATATTTATATATGATAATTTTTATAATAAGGAAACTTGTTTAATGTTTCTATCGTTGCCTCAATAAAAATATGATATTTTTGGGAAATTTTTTGCTTTTCTTTACTTGAGTTTTTTAAAATAGTGAGGTAATTGTACTTTTATGTTTTTATTTATTGTTAATTGTATTCAATTAAAAAGTACAAAATATTTTAATTGTAATTTTTAACCAATTACAATTTTTATTAATTATGCATAATTATATAAAAATTGTGTATAGCATAATATACAAGGAATTTATAAGTTTGTTAAAGATTATTATGGTGATAAAATTCTTTTACTGCATTAAATTTAATATAGCTTGAAATTTTTTTATAAAATAGCATCCAAATATATAGTTATGATTAGCAAGAGTAAAGGAGCGGATATATATTTAATTTTTTAAATATAAATGTCTCTCTCTCTCTCTCTCTAAATTGATTATTATTATTATTCTGCATATAAATATAATTATAATATTAAAGTTACTTTCCGTTTGAACACTACGCAACGAAAGCATTATTCTATCTTTATTATTGAAATGGAAGCTAGAACAATGCTTACAGTGCCCAAAATAAATGTAAGATAGTTTATTGATATTACATATTTTCTTTTAAAATGTATTATCTTGCGAAGTATTTATTGATAATCTTATCTTATAACATTTTCGATTGTAATTGATTTTGATCGCTTCTAAAGCGTCATAATGCATTGCTTGCATTCCTTAGGCTGACTTTTCGTGCTGACGCTCGACGCTCATTTTTACCGTCAAACGAGATCACGTGATCAAAAATGACCATTCAGATTTCACTATTCTGTTTAATTTTGATCACATGATCTAGTTTGACGCTAAAAATGAGTATCAAGCATCAGCATGAAAAGTCAGCCTTATTCTATTTTTTCCCAACGCACACATTCTATGTCTATCTTGCATTAGTTGCAAAAAATATTAGGAAGCCCGATAACCACTTTTAGAATAATTAAACATGTGTAAACACTAAAAGAAAATTTTTAGTAAAATTTTTGGATAATAATGTTGGAAATTCTAATAGATCCATTGAAAAGTTCCTAATCACCAGCCGTTATGAATTGCATTGTACGTTAACAGGAAATCAATGAGAGCATCCCGTTTGACACGTCACGATTGACCACAACCACTCACAGGGGCCAGTGCCTAGAATTTTTCCACTGTTCAAGCGCTGTGAGTGGCTAGTGATCAAACGAGTGTCATCCGAAATCAATTATGTATATTGAAATGAAATGAAAATTACAAAAGTGAAAAAATTTACTTATTTTCGACATATGAAGTTGCATACTCCAGTACATTTTTTTATTTTTATAATTTTTACTTTGTTTCAAAATACATAATTGACCCCCAGAATTTTCCTTTTTATCTCGCCAATCCATTCATATCGGCCAATGCAAAAATTTTCCAATGGACTACCAATCAGGAAATTTTATATTTAATTGACCAATCAGCGACATGACAGTGATATTGGCTCTTTTCTTTAGTAAATAACTTATCAGTCTGAATTAGAGTCGGTCCACAATAAATATTTAATCTTTAAGTCGTAAGAAATTGACCAATCATAGTAGATTATTCTTTTCATTTTTATATTATAATTGGTTATAATTGGTCAATTTTTACTTCTTAAAGCTTAAATCACCTATTGTGAACCGACACTTATATCTATGATTGAGAGGATAGAGCGAATACATTTGAAGGCATTTCCCGGCGTCCTGGTTTAATTAAGAAAATGGCGCTATCTTGTGCGAGTAAGTATTTGTGAAAATATAAAATATAATTTACAATCAAACTAGCTTTCTTGTATTTCTGTTACATCTGAGTTTCACAATGTCTAACATAAAAGTGAATCATTGAAATGTTTCGAAAATTTATACTGACAGAATCGGCAAATATATAACCTATAAATGTTTGTTGCTTTATGTGATATATAATTGTGAGATTGAAAATAATTAAATATTTATTGATGAAAATAGGAAAAAAAATGCATAATATTTATATAAAAAATTGCATAATATTAATCAACTAGTTATGATGTAATAATATACTTGGCCTAACAGTTGTAATACAAGTGGGAAACAAATGGTTTCTTTTGAAAAAGTCAAATTGAAAATGCAAGCAAAAATTATAAGGAAATAAAGACCTAAATCTATGTATATAAAATTATTCTCTAAAATTATTCATGTATCATCTAATTTATCTATTTTATTTTCAATCTTTAATGATATTAATTAAAAATTTTTCTGTATTAAATAAATTATATTTAAAGTATTTAAACATGCACTGAAAGAAATCTTTAAAGATATTCATTAATTTCAAGTTGGTTATATTTAAAATTAATGTTTAGATATAATACGAAAAAAATTATTTCTAATACAAAAATCATATATTTTTATAAACAATTTCTATATACAAGAAAGATTCATAATATGTAATTAAATTTTAGTATAATATATATTTAAATTCTAACATATATCTATTTTGAGATTTGATAAAATTATTTTTACAACTTTCAGTTTCTAATGAGGTGCCAGAACATCCAGTAGTATCTCCTGTCTCTGGATCAATATTTGAAAAACGTCTTATAGAAAAATATATAACTGAAAATGGAGTCGATCCTATTAATGGCAAAGAACTCACTATTGAACAGCTTATTGATATTAAAGGTATCTTTAAACTTTAGTAAACTTAAACTTTAGTAAACTTTAATCTTTTTCAATGTTTTTAAATTTTATATTTATCACAACTTATTTTTATTGTAGCTGCTCCAATTGTCAAGCCTAAACCACCGAGTGCAACTTCTATCCCAGCAATATTAAAAATTATGCAAGATGAATGGGATGCTGTTATGTTACATTCATTTACGTTACGACAGCAACTTCAAACTGCAAGGCAGGAATTATCTCATGCTTTATATCAACATGATGCAGCTTGTCGTGTAATTGCTAGATTAACAAAAGAAGTTACTGCTGCTAGAGAGGCTCTGGCTACTCTCAAGCCACAAGCTGGAATTGTTCAAGCTGCTACAATTCCTCAGCCTGTATGTTATCATATATATTATTATCTGATTACTTTTTAATAAATATTTGTAAGTTATAAATAATTAATTTTAACAAATATTTATATTTTTTTATAAATATATACAGGATATATATTTTATTTTAATTGTATTTCAATTATTAGGCTTTAATTATTAGGCTCTTATTTCAAGCAAAAATATTTGAAATAAAAGTTTTACAATTTTTAAATATACGCATGCAATAAATTGTTTGTGATTTATATTTTTTATATATTAAGAATTATAAATATGTTTATGATTTTAATATTTTTTTTAGGCTGTGGCAGTAGAGGCTGGTGGCACAGCAGCTCAACCAATGGAACAAGCTGGAATTACTGAAGATGTAATACAAAAACTTCAAGAGCGAGCAACCATTCTTACTCAAGAACGAAAACGACGTGGACGTTCAGTACCGGAAGATCTTATGTCTCAAGACAGTATCCGTTCATTCCAAACCCTTGCATCACATCCTGTGAGTCTCTTTTATAGTTTCTGTCTCAAACTTACTATGTCAATTATTATTACAAATCATATTATAAAAAAGTCTATAGATATGTTACATGAAATATTAGAGAATTATAAAATATTATAAGAATTATTAAAATAAAATATATGATGATTCTAAATATTATAAAAATAAAAATATAAATTATTTTAAAATAATTTATTATTATATAATTTCAGGGACTGCATTCTGCTAGTGTACCTGGAATTTTGGCACTCGATATTCACAGCGCTGACACCAGCAAAATTTTAACAGGCGGTGCTGACAAGAATGCCACTGTTTTTAATAAGGATACTGAGCAAGTCGTGGCAATACTTAAAGGTCACACAAAGAAAGTATGTAATTGTATATAGTATATAATTTTAATTTCTAACTTATTATTTTTTTAAATATATTCATGTTTTTTAAATTGTTCAAAAGGTTACACGAGTTATTTATCATCCAGAAGAAGATATAGTGATGACTGCATCACCTGATACTACAATTCGTGTATGGAATGTCGGTACCAGTCAAACAACTTTATTATTGAAAGCTCATGATGCACCAGTAACCGGATTATCTTTACACCCAACCGGCGATTATCTATTAAGTTCCTCTTTAGATCAGCATTGGGCTTTCTCAGATATACGTACTGGCCGATTATTGACTAAAGTATGTTTTAAACAAATATATTATTTTTAATTATAAGATTTCTAAAATTTAATAGAACAATAGATTTCTTCTTCCATCACTTCTCTCTCTTTCTTTCTTTTCTTCTTTTTTTCCTTTTATATGCATATTCACATGCTTGAATTATTCAAAGGTTGCAGGACAAGCAGGTCAGCCGTTAACAACGGCACAATTCCACCCTGATGGTTTGATTTTCGGTACCGGCACAGCAGATTCTCAGGTAAAAATCTGGGATTTAAAAGAACAATCTAATGTTGCGAACTTTCCGGGGCACACTGGACCGATCACAGCAATCAGTTTCTCGGAAAATGGATATTATTTGGCGACAGCTGCAGAAGATTCATGTGTGAAACTTTGGGATTTGCGTAAATTGAAGAACTTCAAAACGTTGCAGTTAGAGGAATCTTATGAGGTGAAGGATATTTGCTTTGATCAAAGTGGAACTTATTTGGCTGTAGCAGGAACGGATGTCAGGTAATTTTTTTAATTTTATTAATTTCTATTAATTATGTTATTTTAATATCAATAATAATATATAAAAAATTAATCAATACCGAATATTTCATATTTCTGAAGAATTAAAAATTTTTAATAGGAAAACCTTAATGTCTTCATGACAAATATATTAAACATTAATAATAAATTAAATTCAACATAATATATGTTATCATAAATAATGTAAATCAATATGAACTTGATTCATATCATATGTTGTTTTTAGGGTATATCTTTGTAAACAATGGCAAGAATTAAAGGTTCTGAATGATCATACAGCGGCAGCCACTGGTGTTCGTTTTGGAAAACATGCACAATACATTGCATCCACCAGTATGGATAGGACATTGAAACTCTATGGATTATCATAAATATAGGATTAAAAATATGAATATATAGATATAAATATATATGATTTTTGTTGATTTACTGCAGCCTGTGTCTTGAATGACATCAAAAGCAAGAAAGCTTGATGAAAATTCTTGCAAAATAAATTAAAACAGAATCTTCGACAAATAACATTTTCACTTGATAAAACAATCCTATAAACTCTTCTTTCCCTCTATTAATCAATAATCTTACATCTAGAATTGAATCATATGTTTTCTCATTTCTGATTTAATTCAAGATAATTGCAGTGAACTAACAAGAGTCTTAAGGCTTGGCTCTCTCGCCGCACGACATGGGTTAAGATAGGTTATAATGGGTTATATAAAAAATATTAGAAAGTAAGATATCTGTCCAATAAATCACATAAAAATGTAAAATAATTTTTTAAATAATCACTGCTTAACTATCAAAAATAACTAGATATAACTGAACAGTGTACCATTATTTCAAGAATTATTTTACACTTTTACATGATTTATTGGACAGATCTTGCTTTCTGATATTTTTTATAAGTTTTAAGAATAAAAATATTATGTTTTTAAAGAAAAAGTACAAAATAAAACTGTAGGCGCAAAAAACTTTTTGCAATTTTTCATCTTTGACGTCATAATTCAATATGGCTACAGCGGGAAAGCCGAGCCTTAAACATTATGGGTTTTATTATTTAATTAGATTAAATTAGATTATTTCTTGGCCAATCTTGATTTAATTTTCTTAAATTTTTCTTATACAAAATATCTTGAAATGTGTGATACAAATTACTATAAGTAATTCATTAAGTAAAAAACTCTTGGATAAACAATTGAATACCAGAAATCAGTTAATCGCCATTATTAATAATCTTTCCTTATTTTCTCAGTATAAAACTATCAACTTTCATCTCCTCCCATTTGTTACAGATCATTAGGCATTTTATTCAGAAATAATTGTATTATTTTTACTAGAATAGATAAAAATAATAACTGTACTACATAAAAATCTTTAAAAAATAAACTTACAAAACTAAAATCATTGAAATCATTGAAATTCACAGAATATTAATCTTCATTAATAAGGAGCTAAGGAAATTATTAAGACATTTGTAAGATTTGTCAAAAAAAAATAAATAGATTTTTATTATATTTCTATATATGAGCAATCTTCATATAGTGATGGGATTCTGCCCAGAACTTATTTCCCAAAATTCATAAACAAGATTATCTTTTTAAATTCATTGTTTTCATTAATTTTATTTTTGCATGAAATTATATCTAAGAATATTCTTAAATCTTTTAATCATGTAGATAAATTTTTAGGCATATATATTGAAAATAATTATATTTTAATTCTCTTGATGTTATATCTTTGTTCATTAACATATTCCTCTTGACTTAACTGCAGAAAGCAATACTAAACAATGGAATTTATTTCCAAAATTTGTAATAATCTGAAAGAGGAATTTTTGTTCTCTCTTTAATCTTAAATTTACATATTTTACGTTTGATAATCATAAATATTTTATTAATTATAAACATTTTTACTAAAAATCTCTAATAAATCTAATAAATTTAAGAAAATCTAAACTTTTCTTTTTCAAGCCGTAATAAATTTAAAAAGTTAGTCATTAAAGTGCACAAAGATGTCCTGATACCATATAATATATTACATTATTCAATATACATATTCAATATACATATTAATTTTAAATTCTAAATTAATATAACATATAAACATTATCATAATATACAATTTTATATATATATATATGTATTTATTTGTTATGTACATATTGCACAAAACTTGCAAAATCATTCAATATCTTAAGAATACATATTGATATTTCTCTCTGCATACTCTCGTAAATTATAATTTTTTATACTCTAAATATATTGGATAGCGGATTATGCGTTTTTTCTCTTTATATATATATGTATATATGTATATATATATATATATATATATATATAACACACACATAC